GCAAAGCCGGTCGAGGTGAAAAGGAAGATACCTTTTGCCCAGCGAAAGGACTTGCGACGCGTGAGACAAAAGCGGCGCGAGCCGCGCAGCACTCCGAAAAATGCTCGGGCAATGTAGGCATAAGGTCGATGAGTCAACCTCGTAGTTCTTCCACAAGTGAAGGGTGCCTTAAGTCGGACTCCCACCCCTTTTAATCAACCGCGGGTGCCTTAGCCCACATTGTGACAAGGGAAAAGGTGGGCCTTTGGCCTGCATGGAAAAGGTGCAGGCCAACCGGGCCGAAGTCTAAGTTCATCCAATTGCGTGTCTTTGTGTAGGGCACCCTTTCCACCTGGGTTTTACGGGGAAGCCCAACAATACACACCAGTTATCTTTGGGATCGCCATTTGTGATACATACTCAACTGAACATTTGAGTCTTAGCGGCCCTTGTGTCATGCCTTTGGGTCCGAGGTGTTTTGCTTTTTTTGCCCCCAGGGTTTGGATTGTGACCCACATGCCGTTGCCAACGGCACAGCCGAGCTGCGCCAAGAAACGGAGGGCCTGGAAGGTCTCTAGGCCTTGAACGCCAAGGGATTTTTTTCCCATTCGGGTATGAGCAGTTTAAGTGGTGGGCGCCATGTAGCAGCCACTTTTGAGATGGCTTCTCCATGCAAAAGCTCGTGGTGACTTTGAGACAGAGCGTTGGGATGCCTCGGTCTCCGGAGGTGCTGGAGATTTCGAAGATGGGGACCTGCGACGTGGCCTCGGTGGAGTTCCTGGAGGACGCTGGAACCATCTGCTGCTGTTTGAAGAAACTGAACCAACCAAACACCAGCAGTGGTTTGACATCCGGGGGTGGGTGGGGGGTGCTTGTTGAAATAACCGGTTTGACATCTGTGGCGGGGGGGGGGGTGCTTGTTGATAATTGCCGGTTTTGGTTTTCCTTGCGGGGAGCCAGACCCGGGGGTGGTTGTTTTAACACATTTTTGGCGCAGCTAAGGTCAAACGTGCAGTGGCGCGTTCTCGTGGGTCCAAGTTTAGTGAGTGAATCAACGGTTAACAATTGTGGATGATGCGTTGGGTGTGTGTGTGTGTAGCTTATTTCTTTCTTTTTTGCTGGGGGGATTCGGATCACTTTTTTTGGGTTGCTTACTCATTTCATGTTGACCCCATATTATTCCACCCCAGGTTTACGAATAGGGGGGTGTCCCTAATAGTCAACTAGGGTTGATTAATATGGGGTCAAAATAATCACCTTTTTGGTGATTGATTCCGAGGTCAAACATTTTGGGAGTGGTTTTGTTTCTCGAGTTGGGCACAGGGAGCAATGGGAAGCAGCCATTTGGTCCTCACGAGGCTCTTGTTGTGGGAAGCCACTTTTACTCCTAGAACCATTGTTTAGAACTTGGCCAAACATTCAAGTAGGGACCCGTCTCTATTCCCCGATTTAGTTAAACAGTGAATGAACGAACCCGAAGGACTTGTTCTTGCAACGCCTGAAAGGGACCCTTTGTAAGATTAGTTTAAATGGCAAAAGAAAGCTGCCACTCGGAGTCCCCTGGCTGGGGGGCTGGGAGGTGTTTGTTTCTGTTTTGAGAGGCAGGCTCAAAAACTGCGACTTGGCTCGTATGCCAAGGGAATGCTGGGCTGGTGCAGGCGACTACGCACTCACAGGGATTAGCGTCACACGCACCTGAGTCCCTCAGCCAGTGTCCGGCACGGAGACATGGCCAGGAATTGAAGAGTTCTGCACAAGCACTGGGGCTAAGAAGACCAGTTTGGGAGAGTCTGAAAATCGCTTTTGAAGCTTGATGTCATCTTTTCACCTTTTGAAGGGGTGTCATAAGCATGGCAACTGCAGGGTTCTCGATATCTTCTTGAGAGGCCAGCAGAATGTGTGAGTTTCCTTTTACTGATGTTCATTGTTCATAGATTGAAACATATCGCTTTTCCTGAAGTACTCCGCAAAAAGACACTGTTTCATTTGAATGTTTAATGTTGCCTATTTTATCAGGAGACCTTTTCGGATTCCACGTGAATTTGCAAAGGAGAACCTTGACAAAGCCGCCGTGCCGTCCGCAGCTTGCCGGCTCTCTCATCTGGCACTGCATCCCTCCAGAGTGGCGAAATCCAGCATTTAAGGGACATATTCAGGTGCCGCTGGAGACATTCCCTTTAAACTGGGGACCTATTTATGGGGTACCAAAGGGTGTGTATATATACATATAGTATCAGGGGCGCATACTTCAGGACAATCCCAATCATACGCTTGCGGCCCTGTTGATTCTTTGCCATACATGTCGAGTAGACTTCTTCAATACCAGGTCTGGATTCAGATTCAGCTGCTCCTGCTGAGGATGCAGCAGCATTGGCCTCCATCAACAAAATATCACGGGTCCTTTGGTCCGGTGGGTTCAGACCGGCCCCGGCTCGCGTCACCGTGGTGCGTGGGGACTCACCGAACGGGATGCAAGGCAATTGCCTCCTTCTCAAGCAAGGGATCGACCAAATACTCGAGCAACTGGGGCCTCCCACAAACTGAACCAATCTTTTTAGTTTGGTTAAGCACCATTAAAAATGGTGCCCCCCCCCCGATTTTCCTCCGCACCCATTGAGTGTTCGAAAAGACCAAGCCTTTCAGTCAGATCTGCCCCTGGCTTCCGACTTCCCAGCTTTGGCCCTTCTCGGCGCCTCGCCTGTCCCCAAATGGAATGCCGGGAACTGAGTCCAAGTCAGTTCCATTCCACATGAGTTTCCCGTGGCTCCTTAGAGACTCAAGGGGCTCGTCAAAGTCAATCTCCCCCCTTTTAGCTGCCTGAATTGAGCCACAATCAAAACCCAATTGAAGAATAGTAGGCAGCTTGCCGCTATTTTATTCTTAAAGAATTGTCGCAAGTGTTTGCTAGACCTCAATTCATGCCAGGTTTCGATTATCTCTCTTGGAGACTTGGATTGATCGCTCTGGCCAAATCCCTTGACGCAGCCAAAACAAGCAAGACCACCCCTTCTGGTTCGACTCTGCCACACGCACGATGCCCGCAGAGGGTCGCGGACGGATCACAAACATCATAAACAATTCCTCTTTTTTAAGCATCGACCATGCGGGCAAATGAAAATTGTACACACACCCCTCAGTTTGTTCTCATCGACCATGCCATGTCCCATATCCCGTGGGCTGCATCAAAAGGCTCCGCACCTGGGCCCCGAGGCGATGCCGGAGCCGGAGCCTTGGCCATGAAGATGCGGTGGATGAACGAAATCCGCTGACGGGTAGTTTTATCCATGAGACTGGGGCCACAGATCTCCGGCCAAAACCTGTACCGGAACGACCCATCTTTTTTTAAGCCTCCCATCCTTGTGGCTTGGACATGCCGAACACCTGTCAGCTGTGATGTTTGTCAGCTGGACATGTGCTGAACATGACGATGAGTCTATGAGCGATCTTTCAATCATTCTTTTGATTGCCAGGGCACTCTCCTTTGAAGAGCTAGTCATTTGGACGCCCGTTTTTGTGAGAATCGCAGAAGTGGAAAGGACATGTTCACAACCCTGCAAGCATGCAACTTTTTATTTTTCTTGCGAGATTGAGAAGCACGGAAGCCATTACCCGGTTGCCTTTTCCATGGCCCAGGGCTCAAAAAAGGCATCCCCTTCTTGAAGAACTCTTCTGCGCTCTGAGTAACGCCTCTCAAAGAAAGAATCTGCTCCGCTCACAAAGAAACAGAAGCCAAACAACACAAGCAGAAACAAAGGACACCGAGCAGAAAAAAAGCAAAGCAGCTGGAAGGTGTTGGGGAACCGCCGTGCTGTTTCTGCTGGCGCAGGCCGGTTGCGCAAAGTGGGGGGGAGGGGGGGCATTGTGAGGATGAACCCTGGCGGCGCCAAAGGTGATCCGAGCCCCCGAAATTTGGGACAGCCAGGGGTTTCTTCATCCTGGTTCCCATGAAGAGTTTGGAAAATGCATTTTAGGGTAAGCCCCACTTGGGTGGAGTAGGGTTATTCAGGTACGAAGCCGAGACGGTCTTTTGGCAAGTTGTGTCTCAGGGCGTGATTTGCAGTTTCCTTGCGAAGGCTCTTCAAGGGGCAAATCCCTGCACAAATCACAGGAATCTCATCGAAAGGGGTAAAGCAAGCTCGCTTTATGAGGAACAAGCGTAGTCCGCGAAAATCATGGCCCGCTAAAATCTAAAAGCAAAGTAAATCTTTTTCCCCTAACAGCTGAAAGCTTTGGGGCTCAGCCCAGATAGGCTCCAGGGTTTTACGAGGTTCTGCGAGGGCTGCGGGGTGGTGCGAGCACCAGAAAGAGCACTGCATGCTGTTGGGGGTGTCACCTGAACTTATTTGGTTTCCGCGCAATACTGACCATAAGTGGTTGACCCTTTGTCCTCATATCTCCATGTCGACACATGCTAAGATTTACAATATAGTGCTGACGGCCAAACTTGTCTGAACAACTGGGTCAGGGACCCCTGCCTGTTGTCCAAACATGTTTGATCCATGGAGAAACCACAGACCAGCTTTGGATGTTCAACCCAACAAATGTGTTATGATCCATTGCCGCTAACCCCATAACCGAAATGGGAGTCCCTCCAGAACCAACGTAGGAACAACCCAACCCAGGCTCGGGCATGTGCTCGAAACTACCCTACCGTTCGAGTCCTGATCGTCCCACGCTCCCTGCGGAGCTGAGGTGTCCTTTTTGTTAGGTGGCAGTGGGTCAAAAATACGTACCCAAAATGGGAACCCTGGTAAATGGAAACATGGATTAAACCTGTGGTCCCATGGTGGGTTGATTTAACCTAATCTCCAGCTTTTTTTTTGCGAGCAGGTTCTTTCCATGTTTTGAACCAGTCAAACATTGTCCATGACAAGATTGACTCCCGGACCCTCCCAAGCTGTAGATGCTTTTTCTAAAGCAAAAGAGGAGACTCTGACATATTTCCCGCTAGCTTCTAGGTCGGCATTCTGTTGTTTTGAGTGTGGGCTTTCGCTTGGTGAGGTGATGTTCAAGAGAGACATGAAGAATCCCGTTATGCCTGACCATTGTTAAACGGAAAGCCAAAAGTTGTCGTTTAGATATGAGGCGCTTTCGCCGTGTTCCCAGCGCGCGAGAACAAGCCAACCCGAGGGTGGCTTGCAGACTTTGTATCTAGTAAATAAGACATGAAGATATACATAGGAATATATATATATATATATACATATGGCTGTGGTTGTCAAAACCAATGGTACCATTCTGGGGTAGGTGTACCATGTTCACTGGGGGTACGGGCGTTTGACCCATGGCCATATATGCCTATATGTATAGATGTGAATTTTGCATATATATATATGTAGATATATACACACACATAATAGGTATAGTATAGGTACACATGCATGTATGCATACCTAGATACTCACATATTTACATACCAACATACCTACATACCTACATACCTGCATGCCTACAGACGTACATACCTACATACCTACCTCCCTACCTATGTGAGCACGTACGCACGGTACTTAAACATACATACATACATACATGCATGCATGCATACGTACATACAAAAAACTAACTAACATACATACATACGTACATACCTTCATACCTTCATACGGACATACATACATACATACATACATACATACATACATACATACATACATACATACATACATACATACATACATACATACATACATACATACATACATACATACATACATACATACATACATACATACATACATACATACATACATACATACATACATACATACATACATACATACATACATACATACATACATACATACATACATACATACATACATACATACATACATACATACATACATACATACATACATACATACATACATACATACATACATACATACATACATACATACATACATACATACATACATACATACATACATACATACATACATACATACATACATACATACATACATACATACATACATACATACATACATACATACATACATACATACATACATACATACATACATACATACATACATACACATACACACATACATACATACATACATACATACATACATACATACATACATACATACATACATACATACATACATACATACATACATACATACATACATACATACATACATACATACATACATACATACATACATACATACATACATACATACATACATACATACATACATACATACATACATACATACATACATACATACATACACACATACACACATACACACACATACACACATACACACATACACACGCACACACATACATACATACATACATACATACATACGTGCATACATACTTACCCCTACCTGCATTGATATATATATATATATTTACACACACACACATATGTATTCACCTACCTACCTACGCACGAACGTACGTAGCTACCTACATAGACCTACCAAGACTTGCCTACCTACCTACTTACCTACCTACATACATGCATGCATGCATGCATGCATGCATGCATGCATGCATGCATGCATACATACATAGCACGTGCTTACCTATCTTCCTACCTACATACATACATGCACACCTCCCTATCTACCTACATATATACATACATGCATGCATGCATGCATGCATGCATGCATGCATGCATGCATACATACATACATACATACATACATACATACATACATACATAACGTATGTACGTACATACAAATATACATACACACCTACATACATGCGTGCATACATACATTTCTATCTACCTACATACATACTTGCCCCAACCTGCATTAATATATGTATATATATGCACATGTATTCACCTACCTACCTACGTACCTAGCTAGCTACATACATACACCTACCAAGACTTGCCTACCTGCCTACCTTCCTACATGCATACATACATACATACATGCATTTGCTTGCCTATCTTCCTACCTACACACATACATGCGCACCTCCCTATTTACCTACCTACATACATACATACATACATACATACATACATACATACATACATATAAAGGTACCTGCGTACCTACCTACCTACCTACCTACCTACCTACCTAGCTTTACTTTTAGGTATGTACCTACATACCTACCTACCTACGTACATATATACATACGTACCTACCTACCTACACATACATGCGCACCTACCTACCTGCGTACATATGTACGTACGTACGTACCTACCTACGTATATACTTACATACGTGCTTACCTATTTGCCTACATGCATGCATACATACACACACGCACGTAAATACACAATCCCATGCACATGCACAAATATGTATACAGCGCGAAATGGGGTGCGCCTCTTTGGCCCCTTCGAACCAACCCACCCGCATCTTCATGCCAGGCCGTGCTCGGAAAGGGGGAAATGCCGTGCTGCGGCGTAGAGGCTCCGGGCGGGTGGCAGAGATGACCCTTTACGGGAATCTTGGAGGGGGGGCCGGGGTATGCGGCATGTTGTTGGCAAATCGCAGAATTGCCCTCTTTTGTCGGCTTTTCTTTGGGCCTAGCAGCAGCTGGGGCAACAGTGAGAGGGGACCCTGTGATACAGGATCCCAGTTCCTAGTACGGCTCCAGGAATTCAGCGGCCGCAACTCGAGTCTTTCATCCCCGGGCGCATCGTTTCATGTCTCGCTTTTTGGGTTTTGTACTCATGGGGAGGGGGGGCTTAAAATGAAGGGTGACTTCCCCCCGTGGTTTTTTGGTTTGCGTGTGTAGGTTAGTTTTGGTTTTTTGGGGGCTTGCTTTAAGAAACCCCAAAGAAGCCAGCTTCTCACATTTTCAGATGTGCCCACATGCCCATCAAACCCACAAGAAGCCCCATATGTAGGAAGCTTGCAGGAACACGCAACCAAGCAACCCAAACAAGCAACCAAGAACCGTGACAGAGACTGTGGTAAAGGCAACTCGCAAAGGGCGACCTGCTCAAGCGCTACTGAAGCCCCTTGCCAGGAGCAGCAAGCAGGAGGCGCGATTGGCGAAATGCGTTTTGATGTCACATGCGGTCAAGGTTTTGGGCTTCAAGTGGTGTGTCAAGACAGGCTGTCCTTTTGACATGCATGCCGCATTTGCCAGCAAATGGTGAATGTCTCTGTGGGTTGATTTGTCGGGAGACAATTTCGATACACCCGGCAACTACCGTTGAACGCCCAAAAGCAGGTCGTTCCTCTAAAAGGGATTTGCTCCTCGAACCACTAATTTTCTAGCTGTTTCAGTCTGGTATAGGGACCACTTTCCGTTTTTACGCGGACATCTCGCCAAAAAAAGAAAAAGTTGTGGTGCAAATCGGCCTGGCGGCCTGGCAGCGGTCGGGTTACTTTCCAGACTGTCTGGAAAGATTTTGGCACCAGTCAAAACTCGGATTCCCGCTCGGGGGAGGCATCTGCTCAGCGGAGTTTTCGACAGGCCTGGTCCGATGCGCGAACGCCACAGCTCCCTGGGGAGGCGGAGACGGAAAGGGGTGTGGGTTGGAAGTTGAAGCTGGGTCTCCCGCAGAAGGCACAGCCTGGAGGCTAAGGGCCAAACTGAGCCACTTGCTTAAAAAGTCGGGTAGATGAAGATTAAGTCCCCACCATAAATTGCTGCGGAATTCCGCCTTCTCAATTCTTTACATGGTTCTGGGTCGACCATTTTAATGCCGGGTTTTGACTTCAACTGAGGGAATGGTGCCATCTTGCCAGCTGTACATGCCCCGAACTTGACTCGCGTGGAAAAGCTTGCAGGTGCTCGGCGAGGGACCAAGGCGGGGATGGGGGGTTGGAGAGGGGCCAAGGTTTGGGGGCCACTTTTTTGTTTCGACATGTCTATTCTCGGTACTAAACGCCCATTCCTTCAACATCCTTTTTACGAGTAGTGTCTGGTCGTAGCAAGATTTTGCGCCGGCCATCCAGAGGTTGGTCTTAGGGGGTGGGGGACAGGTCGAATGAGTCTTACATTGGCTTCGCTGGTCTTTGGTTGGAGAAAGAAACAAACGCCGCTCAAAAATCGAAAAGGCGTGACCAAAACGGCGTTTCAACTGAGAAAGGACGGTTTCCAGTCACTAGCAATGTGGGAAATTCGGTATTCCGTCCCCCTGGTATTTGTGGTGGAAGCTTGGCGAGCCTGTCCGCATGGGCCCACGGTTCTTGGGGAGCTTCGTTGGACCCGTTGCGATCTAGGGGAAGCCTTTGGTCCTGGTGATGCAGCTGGCCACCGCAAACCTCTGGGACTCCTTCTGCCAGTGACCTCCGCTTCTCGCGTGGAACCCGCGGAGAAACCGAAGCAACGCGCGTGAAAGCTCCCCTCTATGAGATGCACATCCCTTTTTCCACGTGTCCCGGTTTGGGTAGGGGGGTTTTGCGTGTAAAGCAGAAGTGAATGCCCGGGTGAGATCTAGCACTGAACAGGAGTTTGCAACATGCCCGCGCCTTTCGGGCGCCGGAGGCTCGGCCGTCTCAACGTCGAAGTCCTATAACAGGAACCCAGAACAGGAACCCAGATACCCTGGGTTGAGTTTGATTGGTGTGGTGGCGTGTAATTCATCAATTTTTTGGAGCATCCGGGGTTCACTTTGGAGCCCCGACAAAAAAAACATCTGGGGGTCGACATTGGAACCGCACTGCCCATACTGTGGATGGACGAAATCCTGCATCACTTGGAAACCACGGGAAACCATTGCTCATTGGGATTTACAGGAATCCTCCTTCCAGCGTTTCTTAGGTGGTGCCTTACAGGGATTTCGTCCATTCCCAACTAACATAGACTCCAGAGAAAAGGGTGCCAACTTCTTCTAACCTCTCTGGAGGACCTAGTTGCAATGCCCATGTCCGCTCGAGAAATTTCGTTTCCCCGAGCCCACGAGGTACACGGCGGCGGTCAATGCGCAATGGGCCCATCGCCTGGGTCACAGGCCGGGGGTTTCCGACCGGCCGACGGCCGACGGCCGACGGGTTTCCGACGGTTTGGGCGCCAAAGAGGGGCTGCAGGGATTCGATCACGGGTGTTCTACGTTTTCCATGTAAAGCTCACATCAGAATGGCATTTCCCGGCTATTTATTCTATTTCTGAAGAAAGGCGGCCGGGCTCTCTTTGTTTTCCTTTTTTTTTGGGGGGGGCACGATCCGTTTTCGAACCGTGCACGCTGTGCATGCAAGACGCGCAAGCAGCATGCGAGGCATCCAACCGGAAGACTGCGGCAATCCTTCCATAAGTGAGGATTTCGCCAGGAATCGCTTGTTATATTCCCTGCAACTTTTGGGGCTGTCAAGGCACAGCCCAGCCAAATTCATCAATGACATTTCTAGGCGCCTCAGCTTATTCAGTTGTGGCCCTTGGACCCTGCCACCTTTGGGTGCCTTTTTTGGCTACCCCGGTGGGCTTCGGATTTGAAGTCTATTTTTCCAAGTGAGCTTGGGCCAATTGCGCATGACGACTTGCTTGGGGGGGTTGGTGGGTTATAACATCACCTGGTGGCACTTTGGGCCAGCTCTCCCTTGTAGGGAGATCAGGCGGACCCTGAATTGGGTGACTAGTTTGGGACACGGGTTCCACCCGAAGGCATATTTTGTGAATGCTCAACATGGCGAGCGGCTCAAAACGAGTTAGGCCCAAAACCGAAGTTTAAAGAGGGGAACCAACGAGATTTCATTTGGGGTGGGTCCGTGGGGGTGGGGACGGGTGGGGCACTTTTTTTTTTGGCGTTGTCCTTTATGAGGCGCCTATCTGTCACGAATTCCTAGATCTGAATCGTCAAGAAAATGCAGCACTCTTTTGTCAGCTTCCACCATTCGAGGGAGTATACGTACCCTACGTTCTTTGTTTGGTTGGAGTCTCAGACATGCTCCCATTATCATCAGATCCGGCGGTTCAACTGGCGATCCAAACCGAGGTACATCCTCACCGGCGGCGAGTACCTCCATCGAGCCGACCTTTGGCGTGGAGGTAACGTGCGAGCCGTGCTCGAGGCGAGAAAGCGGTCGTAGGAACGCGGATCGTTTCCGTGGCTCGAAGTGGAGACAGGGATCTCATCCTTTTTGGATGGTTAAGGGACACTAACCCGGAATCTACCGGCAAATTGGGGTGGCCCCCCAAATATGAATCTGCACCGAGCGCTTTCAAACAGTGGGATGGCTGTTTAAATGGAAAGCACAGGCCGAAGGCATTTTTTCTTGGCGGCTGGACAACCACCCCTTTTGTTGTTGGGGCATCTTCTATGGCAAGGGCTGCAACAGACCCCAGGTAATGCTCAACATGCAAACTCAAGTCAAGAAGGACGTGACATATAATTACCACTCCCGAAGCAAAAGGCGAAGCCACATGTGGTTGGTAGATGGGCAGAGAGCCCCCTGAGCGACCCCATCACAAGCCATCCTTCCCGGTCCTTCATGTTTTGCGACGACCATCTGGGGGTGCTGCCCAGTTGCCACAGTTTCTACCATCGTCAGTTTGTTGAATCTATTCACGCTCCATGGCCTTCTTGCTGCGCATTCAATATTCGATGGGATCTTCTCCAGGTACAGAATGCTTGCCCCCCGCTTCAGCGGGGCATGCACGTGCTCACGATCCTCTGCTTGTTTCGGGTTACTGCACGATGCCGAGAGCGGCCAGCGCTTCATCTCGCCATGGCCCAAAGGAGTTCGCTCGCGAGTCCCATCTCGAGCAGAACCGTCGCCTGCAGACATGAAGGCGGCCATCAGGGCGCTCAAAAGCGCAGAGTGGCTCTGATTGGCGCTGGTCATGGGATGACCCGGATGCCTTGAAAGCCATGAAGACCATCTGGAGCAGTTCGAGTTGCTGAGCAACAAGGCCAAAGAGTCTGCACAGACAGTGCGACACCATCAGGAAGCCATGAGGAGCACTTGACCTTTGATCTGAGGTGTTTGCCAAAGAGTGAGCCTCAGACAAAATACTAACGCAGCAGCTCTGGCACGGATGATTCTCATCCAAGTTCTTGGTCTTTGCTGAATGCAACACATTCTCACTCCTCACGATCGCTGGGAAGGTGTGCTTTCGCGGGCGATTTATACGTCGTGACATGTACCATGCATTCAAGTCCACTCCATGGCATACGTTTGGCGGATATGTGCTGGGCCTATCCATGTTGTAGGTGAAAAAGACTCAGTGCCATAGACGTACGTGCGACCTTGCCAACCCCGAGCTTCAAGCTACAAGAAGGGAGGCTTCGGGTTCTCTTGGTTTCTCATTCCTCCAAGAAGAGATGATCCCTAAGCGTATCAAGTGTCAAAGGCGGCCTCGCGGAGGTCATGAAGCAGGCGCCGGCAGAGGCGGGACGCCGGACGCGTGTGGACTCGGCCACCCCAAAATGGCGCAACGGGTTTTCCTCTTGGTTTCCCTTAAAGGACACCAAGAAAAGGGGTGCTCCCCAAAAGGACAGACCCAAATGAGCCTTAAGAAAAGCCATCGGGTTCTGATTTTGTGAAACAAAATACAAATTGCAATCCTTCTATTGGCTGCTAAGCCTCCTAGAGGGAAGCCTCAGCTGCTGATGAAGTGATTGATTGATTTGATTTGATTTGATTTGATTTGATTTGTTTTGATTGATTTGATTTAATTTGATTTGACTTGACTTGACTTGATTGATTGATTGATTGGTTGATTGATTGATTGATTGGTTGGTTGATTGATTGATTGATCGATTGATTGATTGATTGATTGAGTGATTGATTGATTGAATGATTGATTTGATTGATTGATTGATTGATTGATTGATTGATTGATTGATTGATTGATTGATTGATTGATTGATTGATTGCTTGCTTGCTTGCTTGCTTGCTTGCTTGCTTGCTTGCTTGCTTGCTTGCTTGCTTGCTTGCTTGCTTGCTTGCTTGCTTGCTTGCTTGCTTGCTTGCTTGCTTGCTTGCTTGCTTGCTTGCTTGCTTGCTTGCTTGCTTGCTTGCTTGCTTGCTGGCTTGCTTGCTTGCTTGCTTGCTTGCTTACTTGCTTGCTTGCTTTTTTTTTTGATTGATTGTTTTGTTTTGATTTGATTGATTGATTGATTGATTCATTGATTCATTGATGGATTGGATTGGATTGGATCGGATCGGATTGGATTGGATTGGGTTGGATTTGATTTGAATTGAATTGTTTTGGTTGACTTGAATTGACTTCTTTTGATTGTTTCGATTGATGGATTAATTGATTTGATTTGATTTGGGTTGGGTTGGGTTGGGCTGGGCTGGGTTGGGATGGGTTGGCTGGGCTGGGGTGGGGTGGGTTGGGTTGGTTGGTTGGTTGATTCATCGATTCATTAATTCAGGGATTCATTGATTTATTGATTCATTGATTCACTGATTCGTTGATCCGTGTTTTTCATTGATTTGTTGATTCATTGATTCATTGTTTCATTGATTCATTGAGTGCTCCTATTCAGGGAGTGAGGGCAGCATTATTTGAGGGGCCACCCTAAATCGTGGTGGACATACACCCTCGTCTATGTTTGTCCACCGAAGTGTCCAACCAACAAAAAAACACGACTCGCGCGCATGAAAAACATGGGATTGCCCTCCACATGGACTCATATGTCCCGAGAAGAGAACCCAGACACGATGAACCGACTTTCCTTCCTTTTCACGGTTATTTTGGCCCATTTGGTCCCACTTGCATTGTTTTCAGTGCTTCCAGTGTTCTGTCTTGGCCCATAGGTGAGTGTAGCGGATCATGTTTTGGGTTGGACATAAGGAAATCATACCATCCCCCATCATGTTTTTCCCACAAACACCAGAGGACTCTCTAATTTTCCGACGCAGTGGAAATCCAATTTAGGGTGAGCTTTTTGTGGCAGGCTGACGCTTTAATGGAGATCTCTGGGTGTGTCTTAAATTAGGGAATTCCCCAAACCGGCGATCCTCCCTTTGTTCGGGTCAGAAAGGGATGTCCGCGGTGCGTTTTTGCTCCCCGCTTTTGCCCAATTCTGAAACCTCTCTAAAGGCTGCCCTAAAAAAAAAGGTGGTTAGACGCTCAGGTTGAGTGGATCTTCCACCTAGGGGAGCACTTCTCCGTTTTTCCAGCCTTCAAGGGGTCCTCACGCCCGCGGGGATGCTGCAGGTGGATTGGATCTTCCACCTGGACTGCGACGCCGCCCTGGTGGATTTTTCGAAGGATGCCCAGTCCCTGAGTTGCGCGGGGGAGTGGGGCCCGGCGTAACGGGTGTGAGTCTACATTTTTACGAAAACGCGACATGAGCCACTTGCTCAATACCGATTCGGGTAGATGAAGGTTACGGGAGAATCCCCTTGCCATAAGTAGCTGCGGATATCGGCCTCCCAATTCTTCGCATGGTTCTGGGTGGACTATTTTACTACCGGGTTTTGACCATGACTCGACATGTGGGTGTCTTTTCAGACTTGTTGTTTGTATCTTTCAGAGTGTGTTACAGTCTCAGCTTTGCCGGCGCTTTCTTCTGCGTTTTAAGATGAACCAAGGGTCCTTTTTGGAGACAAGCCCATATACAGGTTAATAGGCGATTTGCCCAAGTCAAGAGTGGATCGATTTGGTACTGGGCTTGGCAAACGGTACCCAAGACAACATCCCACTTGCAACCAGTGACACCGAGCCTGGCAGAATGGCCTGCTTTTTCGGCTTCACTGTTTTTGGTGGACCCACCAAGCAAGCAAGGGTTGGTTTTAAGAGCAGCTCCGAAATCCGGCCATGGCTTCACGTCCCTTGTGCTCAAGGTATTTTGCTTGCACAAGTTTGCTTTTCCCATTTGTGAACACATGCATCGGGAACCTCCAACAAACTTTATGGGTGATTGGGGATTCTTGTCAGGTTTCCGTGAGATTGTGGTTGGCCCTCTCACATGTGGCCACTCTAAATATGTACACACACACCTTTTATATACGTATGTATACATATATGTATATATATATATATATATACATGCACAAGGAATCCTTGGGAAGCCTCCAAACCCGCACATGTCTTAGACTCTTTTGGCTTGGTCCTCGTAGAATTCTGTGAGATTAGGGTCCCCTTCCAAGGACACCAAGCACAGCTGGATGAGTCAGTTTGGAGTTCCGACTTCAGCCGGAAAGTCAAGTCCCGGTTGTCCGGGAGTCGTTTGGGGCAAACCGAAGTTGGTTCCAGGTTGCTCCGGCGACTCCTGCGGCTTAGGCCCTGGCGGCCGTGCTGGCGCGCCACGGCTCCGCGGAGCTTCTGCTGAGCCGGGACGAGCACGGGGCCCAAAATCGGATCAAACCGCGGAGCTTCCGAGTTGCTCTAAAGATGAGACACGAACAAGGCCTGAAGCTTCGATAGTTTCATCCATTCCATCCATTCCATCCATTCCATGCATTCCATGCATTCAAAAAGAGCATCATGAACGATTACACACTTGATATGAGACGGCAAAAGCTGACAATGTGCACCACCATGCAGGTACAGGCTGTTTGAAGGTCTCCGGCAGGGCAATGGAGTTTCGGCTTCACACATGCCTGAACATTGTTCGCCTAGATTGGCCTTCCTCTTCAGGGACGCCAACGGCCAATCTGGCTACTGCATGCCAGGACATGAATGAAGGTGGCGTCCGACTCCGATAAAGAGAAAAACACGACCGCAGAACCCCTTAGGAACAGGGGGGCCACACACACACCCCCCGCAGGGGGAAGAAAAACGAACCGCCTAAAAGCCGCCTCCATCATGATTGCCGATGGGTAGTTTAGACTGTTGGCAGAACTCCTGCCTAACTGCTCACGATCATTTTACCATGTAGCATCGCCGTCTGAGCTCAGGTGCATTGGTTCGAGATGGTCGCTTTCTGGTGCTGCTCCTTCAGCTTTCTGAGACGTTCCAAGCTCCCTCCAGCGCTGCGTGACATCCGCAATGGACCTGTTGAGCTTCTTGGCCAGCGATTTGTACGAGTACTTGGACCGGTTGTCCGCTTTCAGGCTGCAAAGCTGCTGGTCATCTTCCTCTGTCCAGGCGCGAGGTACCTCCGGGGGAGTTCCTGGATTGCCAGCATCGGAGTGAGCACGAGCAGGCTTCAGGAAGGGATTCAGGAGAGGAGAATGGGCCCACGCAAGGAGATACTGGAGCTGGCGCTGGAGTGCGAGGTACTGGACGCGCTGGAGGCTCCGGGGAGTGCGTCCTCTCGGAGGATGTAGCTCGGCATCGCTTCCGCTTCGTTCTGCGCCGACCGGTCTCACCCTTGTCCATGATGGAGCTGGGAACATTGGCCTTCTTGATGCTCGGCTGACCGACATGGGTGTGCGTCATGGAGCTCTTCGGGCGTGGATCTATAGCCTCGTTGGCATCCCCCGTGACGATGCCGTAGGACAGCGACTTGGGGTTGACCACCGCGTTGCGCTGGTGGTCCACGTGTAGCTGGAGTGACTGAGCGTCGATTAGCGGTGGAGGGTCAGCCAGATCCTCCGAGTTGACCGAATGCCGAATCCCGGGGCCAGGTGGTTCTACCTCATCGAGTCGGGCATGGTCATGTGCTCGCGGTCGCGAGGATTCTGCCAGCGATAGACCTCGGAGATGAGGATGCCACACGCCATCGTGCCCGCCATGAATCCTGCGACTGTGTGCCTCGTCAGCCTGATTCAAGGTCTCCTGGATGAGCTGCATCATGTCCGCAGCGTTCTGGGTCATCCGGTGGTGGAGTGCAATCATGCGTCCAAGCATGACAACCACGTTCCGATATCGGCGAGAAGGCCCACGTCTTGAACCACCAGATAAGCTCCGTGATAAACCCACGAGTCAAAGGGCTCCGGAACTCAAACAGAACAAACCAAGCCCAACAGCCCAACCGAGCCCGACCCCGTTTGGGAAAGACCGAACCGAACAGGACCAGCAAGGGCCACGCAGCCGAACCTCAAGAGACAACGACAATCAGCACATAAACATTCTTTCCGGTTGGGATGGCCGGAAGATGAAACAGGTGCTGCAGATCCGCTGACTTGTAGCCGGCGGACAAATAGATACTGCGAAGCTGATCCAACGCCATCTGTACTGCCCGTGTCGGGTGCGCATACTTGGTGGCGAGAGCTGACCGTGATCTAGCCCCGGAGAGAAGGGTGGAAAGACTTCCTGCAGTGTGGGGTCCTCTGATCTGCCAGATTTTTGTTGGGGTTTTGTAGTAAATCGCCCGGTCGCCTACGTCGATGACGAAGCCGAGGAACTCAGAGGAACCTACTTGTTCCAACACGATGGGTGCACCATAAAAGTCAGCGTGAAGCAAAGCCTCCAATGGGGCTGCTGGGTGACCGGAAGCCGGAGACGGGAAGATCACAAATCTGTTGTCGACATATCGCTCCAAGAAGATGCTGTGGCTGGCGAACCATTGTCCGTAAATACGCTGCCAGAGAACTTCGTGCCGCGCGACGCAAATGTGACTGAGGACTGGGCTCAGCTGAGAGCCAATCGCTGTTCCGTGGACTTGGCGAAGAATGAGGGTGCCCACCTGGACGTACATGCATTGGAAGCTGGATCTGACTATATCCAGGATGTCCTCCACATAAATGACCCGCGTGGTCGGCGTGCGTCCGTAGGATTGCTTACCCGCGAAGACCCGGTTATAGTGGACCGCCGCCTGAGTTTCCACTGAATAGATGAGACCAGCATGCTCTCGCCGGTGCTCTGCTAATAGCTGCTCAACTGCTGCGCACACCTGATCCTGAGGGACACTGTTGAAGAAGCCGACCAAATCGTCATTGTGAAATGCGAGAGTGACTGTATCGTCTGTGTTGTCAAAGTATTGTTTGACGTTCTGCCATATCCTCGGCGTGGGGTGTACCCCCCACGAACACTTCCATGTACTCGCGGCGATCTCGCCGAGAAGGATCGCAACCGCTTTGAAGAGCTGCCGGTGCACCACCTTATGGTAGGCTATAATAGTTCGCCCCGATTTCCATTGCTTCTTACGTTTGAGAAAGACCTTGCCGACCGGGATCGCGGTGGTCTTCTTCCTGTATGCCCATTTGTACCTCTTCTGCAGGTGCCGCGGGATAGCTTCAACAATGAGAGCCTCGGCCTGGTCGGGCTTCAGCGAAGTGGCGGCAAATGTGCCGGACTGAAGCCAGGTGTTGTGGAGGCCTTTGAAGTAGAGTTGGGGGCAGAAGAACATGAGGTGGTGGTTGTCATGGTCCTCGTTATGGCACACAAAGTCCTGGCTGAGGTGCCGATGCAGGATGTTCAGCTGGTGCTTGGTGAGAAGTTGATGGGCGGATGCGTGCTGCCGGTGTTTCCGAAATTCATTGCGTAGGTGCTGCATGAGGGGTGCGTGGAATTGGTCCAGGGGCAGACCGTGGTGCAGGCACCATTTTCGTAGACGTTCATGAACCTGCACTTCGTAGACTGACAGGTCCACATAGTATGACGCCAAGGCTGAGGTGTAATGAACATGCTGTGGAGTTCCGGGAAACCGGAACTCATCCAATCCCGCGGCCACATGGCCGTGAACATGAGATAGCCAGGGCTGCCGTTTTAGCCAGGCTGCGCACTGACACGATGATGGTCCTGCGGATGTGAGGAGGTAATTGTCCTGAAACAACGAGAAGTTCCACATGACTGTATGGACTCGAGGATGAGGGGTCTCCGCCAACTTCGTGCTGGGCAAGTGGAATGGAAGAGCCCAGTTGCGATGGTCGAGAACCAGCCGACGAAGGACTTCCCTGGTGGACCGCTGATAATGGGGATGAGAAAGCCACGGTAACCGCAACAACGAGTTGATCTTGGGTTGCTGGAGTTGGCGGAAATCAAGAACTCTTCGCAAAATATTCCGAACTCGATGCCGATGGGGCTGCTCCACATTGCCTGACAGCCTGTATATAGCATATATATCCAAGTCTGAGTGCCGTCCACTACGAAGTCGTTTTTCCTCCTCCCAAGATTCAATGTGCTCCGAGGTGAGGCGACCGATGATGGACCAGGCTTGGGTGTGTTTGAGCGCCACCCGATGGAAGTTCCTGCCATAGACTGTACAACTCCTCCTGCGCAAGCGGAGGAAAAGGCGTTTGCCGAACCTGGACCAGGGCTGTTCGGCGAGAAACCTGGTAGCCGTGTAGCCTGTGGAGATGCGCTTGTACCGCCGATAGATGTAGGGCCAGTTGAGGGAGGGCTGATAGATGCTAATCAAGGCGTGTTCCTGTGTCCAGGTCACGGTATGGTCGGAGTCTGTGAAGATAACCCATGTAGCGAACTCGTCATAGTTGCCAAAATGATGCCACCATCTCAGGGCCGGCTCTGCATTAATAAACTGTCCGTGCTGAATACCCAGTAACTTGGCCCTACGATTGTGTTCTCGACTGGGATAAGTGATGCTGGTGCTTCCAATGTATACGTCCGACTGCGGATTGACTGAGCGTGGAAGGTCCGGGCGGAGTTCGACTCGCTGCTTCCAGTACACTGCGTTGGGCTGCAAGAAGTGGGTGAAGGTGTACATGTTCGGGTGGATGCGCAAACGCCGGAGTCGGCGCCTGAGCTCCGTGAGCGCATGCGTGGGACGACCGTAGTGATGGACCATCAGCAGCGTGGACATTGACTCGGACCACATGGACAGTTGCTTGTTGACCATCGGCATGTTAAGGATTTGGCGACTCGTGACGACGATCAGATAGAGAACCTGATAATACTGATGGGCTGCATGCACATCGAGGGAGTCCCCGAGTCTGATCGCAATAAGCGCAACGATGTAAGGAAGGAAATAGTCGGTACCATGTTGCAAGCTCACCGGCCAGGACGGCTCAGGAATACCATAGTGTCTGGCTGCACTGTAAAGCTCCGACCGTGCATACTTGCTATATAGTTGCAAAAGAAAAACCGTTTCTGGAGATTGAATGACCGGCATGGCTTAGCCATGCATCCAACGCTCGAGCACTGAACGGTTGATTGGGTCAACAGGAAAAACGGAAAACCCGAAAAACCCGGAAAAAGAACCCGCGACCCCGAGAACCTACAGAAAAACGAAAAGGATAAAAGGCCGTTGATGGTCTCCGGGCAAGGTGCAGGCGTGAGGAGCAGCGGGCTTTTCATACCAGTCGTGTCGATGGTGCTAACTTCCTTCCTCGTGAGTGCTACCGTCACTCCCCTCACTTGCCATACATGTACATCACCGTGATGAACTGCAGGAGTGCTCGCTTCGATCCTTTGCTCACTAAGGAGATGGTGGCCCCCCACTTGACTGCAATGGTTTTCAACTGCTCCACTGTGTCCGATGCCAGCTCCTGCTTGA